GAAGCAGGAGGCTCGCTCGATATGGCCTTGGGCGCCCGGGTTGAAATGCCTCAATAACGATGAGGCATCACTCACCTGGCTGGTGATTCGTGAAGCCCTCTGGGTCGGCAAGAGACTTTGTTCAGCAGGCTTGGAGAAATATCCAAACTGTCGTCGCTGTGCTGGGGAAGTCGAGACTATTGGTCACGCCTTCTTTCAGTGCAGGGCGGTAGTGCCGTTGTGCAAGTTTGTTGAAGGCCTCATGGTTCGCATGCTGCACGGAAAGTTTTTTGTCCTGGAAGCCAGTTCTGTTTGTAGCAATGTGGTGCCGCAGATGACAAAGGCTGAACACTGTGTTCTGTTGCTTACTAGGGGTTATGAGAGTCGTGATTTGGACGACGCGTCAGAAGGGATTCCATGAGGGCGAGAAGTTCACTTCTTCCCAACTGATCTTGTTCTTTAAGCATCAGCTTAAAGTCAAGATCAGGACGGAAAGGCGGCGGCTCACCTCATCAGAATTCAGCAAAAGGTGGGTGAATCTTGCGCGAATGTGCCGAGTAAAAGGGCTGACCTTGAGGGCATCTGGATGCCGGTTGAGCATTAAGGATATTGTTTTCCTGGGTTCAACATAGGCAACCCATCCCGGAGATTAGGTTTTTGTATTTTTTCTTTAGTTTTTTCTATTCTGGTAAACTTAGCTAGGGTGTATTTGCTCATTGGTCCCCTTTTTATTTCTGTCCCCATTTTCTTTCCTTTAGTTTAACTCCCCATCCCTCCCTCGTTTTTAGGTGGTCAGTGATGTCAGTTCTCTGGTAGATGCGGGGCGCCTTTCGTTTCGTGTGTGTGTTTTTCGTATTTGTTGTTGTGTATGGATGAGTGTGTGCCTGTGTGAATGCTTGGGATGAATGAGTGTGGCCTTATTTTTCATTAAGTCCCGCATCAATTTCGTCCGGTTAACTGATATTTCTGCCACATTCAAGAGTTTGTGGGGGGGTTTATTACTAACACTAATTTTATTTGGTTTCTTGTAAATATATTTTGTCATTTTGTATATATTCATTGGGGATCATTTTTAGAGGTTGTTGTTTTTATGCCCCTCCCCCCACAGACAATATTTTGTACATAAGGGGATTATTTAGGTTTTTCATGGAGTCAGAGGCATTTTGGTGTATGTAGTAAGAAAGGTATGGATAAATGTGTTGTTTTGGTGAAAGGATATTGTTCTGTATGATAGGGTCAGTGGTTGTGGCTAGCTAAGTTTTTTAATCTAAGACAAGTGATGACCGTCCTTTACCCCAACCCCCATTTTGGCCTTGTGCCTCATTTGTACATAGTACAATAAATAATGAAGTTCTTGAGCTGACTTCCGACGTCTGTCGAACTCTCTGCGTGGACTATATAATTTTTTTTTCTCGCACTGAAAGAAAGAAGAAAAAAACAATACGTCGAACTTTGCCAACGTGCCAAAAAGAAGTAAGACTTGTGCTTATTGTTGGATATATACGTGTTTTTCCCTTTTTTGACTGTTTTCGAAAAGTGTTTTGTGTAATCTATTACGCATAATGGAAGATTTGATTGCATTAACGAAAACTCTAGTGCAAAACCAAATTCAGCAACAAGAGCAACAAAAATTGTTTCGGGAACAACTAATGGATTTACAAGTTCAGAAGCGAAATGACACAAAGGCTTTATTTGAAGCAATGTTACTAAAGAATCCAGTAAATTCGTCATTCACGGCCGAAGGTATTGCTAATTCTATTACCGAGTTCAAATTTAACCCAGAGGAGGGTATAACATTTCCTGCGTATTTCAGAAGATTTGAAACAATATTTGAAAAAAAATGTGAAAGTTGGACTGATGAACAAAAAGTGAGTTTACTTTTACAAAAGTTGGGTACAGATGAAAATAATAAGTATACAATTTTGTCCTTCCAAGAAAAACTAGTGACATTTCTTTCGAAGAAACTGTTAATACTTTATCTAGTATTTTTTGGCGAGCGAGTTAGTTTGTTTCATACTCGTTTCTCGTGTTTGAATATGGTAAAGCGTGACGATGAGGATGTTTATTACTTATGCTGGAAATGTTAACAGAATGTGTGAACGTTTTATGTTACATGATCTTTCAATTGATCGATTTAAATGTTTGATATTCGTTCAAGGCTTGACTTCTAGCAAAGATAAGGACATAAGGTCCCAAATATTGGCAAAACTCGAACAAAATTCCGAGATTACTTTGCAGAAGGTTACGGAAGATGGTCAAAGAATGGAAAACTTAAAACATGACAATACGCAAATTGAAGAAAAAGACATATCCCGTGTCCATGCTATTCGACCAAAAACGGGAATAGTTAATAAAAACGTTAAAAAACCAACGTGCTTTGGATGCGGTGGTGGTCATTTTAAAAGTGAATGCTTTTTTCGCGACAAAAATTGCTATTCGTGTGGCAATAAAGGCCATATAAGTACTCATTGTAAAAGCAAAAGAAAAAAAATTAAGTCGAAAAAAGATATTGTGAATATTGTGTTGTCACGTCAGGAGATCGAGGAGGGACAGAAAAGAAAATTCGTACAAGTAAAAATTAATGGAAAAAATGTTAAACTACAGCTAGATACTGGAAGTGATATTTCCATTATTAATACAGAAACATGGATTAAAATAGGCAGACCTTTGCTTAAAAAGACTTAAAAATTGGCTCGCGGGATTTCTGCAAGAAAATTGCAATTTCAAGGTGAATTTTCTTGTAATATTTCATTTGTTGGTAAGACACTAAAGTCTAAAGTGTATGTGCTACAAAATGCTTCAAATGTGTTTGGAACAGATTGGATTATACTGTTTAATTTATGGGAACTCCCTATAAATTCTTTTTTACAATAATAGAGTTAATGTTTCTTCTCGGTGTAAAAATCGGGTTACAGAAAATTTTAGAAAGATCTGAAAATAAAATTTCCACAAGTATTTTCAGAAGGTCTTGGATGTTGCAAAAGGCGAAGGCAAAATTTGAAGTGAAGGAAAATGTAAAACCTATTTTCAAGCGAAAAAGAAATGTGCCATTTGGTGTTTTGGAACAGACTGACAAGGAATTGGAACGGTTTGAAAATTTAGGAGTTATTTCACGCATTGAATTTTCAGAGTGGGCCTGCCCTGTTGTATATGTTAAGAAAAAGAACAAAGGTGGAAGGTTTAAGTCCAGATCCCAAAAAGAAAATATATTAATTCCTCCGGAATTAATCTCAAGGGGGAGGTGTTTTGTAGGAACCTACCACCCCTCTTGAAGATGAACTCGTCTACAAACAAGGACGTTAAATAGTGGCATGTCAAAAGAGTGTGGGAGAAGTTCTTGAGCTGACTTCCGACGTCTGTCGAACTCTCTGCGTTAGCAGAGAGGAACCCGGAAGAGGCTTTGCCGAAGGGCAAGGTTTCGTCCGGGGAGGTAGACAGGGCCTGAACCCGTCTAATCGGCTTCAAAGGCTATTTTTTTTTGGCCGAGCCTGGGCTGGGAGAAACCCACAATAAAACCGGCCTTGTGCCATATTCGTTTCCGTGGGTGAAATGATAAATACCGAAGTTCTGGGCTGAGTTAGTTATAGACTACTCAGGCGATTTCTGTACCAACTTACCAACCGAATAAACCCCATTTTATTGTTACATGTTATTTGGCGTTTGTCTTTATTAACCCCAAATTAACATCATAACAATATCCTAAAGGAACGTTGCATTCAATTTAAAGAAAATGAGTTAAATACTTGAGTAGACTGGGCACTCTGGTTTTGATTGGCAAGCAGTCTATGAAAAGGACGATTTTTAATTCAAATCCGTGGAGAAGACTGCGGAAAATCACACCACAACGTTTAACCCAAGAAATCATGGCAAAGGGAGGAAGAGAAAGAGATAGAGAGAGGTTCCCAGATAATTAAGAAAAAAGAAATCGTGGAGAGCCCTGATCGTCTACGTCCTGAATGATTTTAAAATAGCTATTTTACGTCAAGTTTAGTTATTGCTTTCTTATTATCGGACAGTGATTGTCTGTATTCCATGCACGTTTTTTTTTCGCTTGACTTTATCGTCCGATTCCACCCGAAACCAACCGGACCCACCCGAACCCATTCTAGTCTGCACCAGATTTCGCTTATCATTTCTCGGCATCAGTCGCTGATTTCGGTTCGATTTTCGGGAAAAGGTCGAAGGCTAAATTTGACGGCATTTGTAAATAAAATAAGGAGAGATAATAAAATCGGCGTCTCGAACAGCCATTTTTTTTTCTTTGGGTTTGTTTTATTTCTCTTTCTCTGGCTGTCAATTATTTTCTTTGATATAATAGGATATAAATAAAGAAGAAAAAGAAATAAAGAAGAAAGAAAAAAAGACAAAGGTGAAATAAGGAAGAAGAAGAGGAAAAGAAGTCAGAAAGAAAGGAGGAAAAAAGAATATAAAGAAGAAACGAAAATAAAGAAGGAAGAAAAAGAAAGAAAGAAGAAAAGTGGAAAAGTATGATAAAAATGAAGAAAAAGAATATGAATAAAGGAGAAAAAGAAATACAGAAAAAAGAAAAGAAAGGAGAATGAAATAAGGAAGAAAAAGAGGAAAAGAAGTAAGAAAGAAAGGAAGAAAAAAAAGAATATAAATAAAGAAAAAATGAAGAAGGGAAAAGAAAGAAAGAAAAGAATTTACACACCACATAGAAGAAGTGTTTGGTATCTTTCTTTCTTTGACTTCTGAATATTCCCCGGCTTTTCTTTTTTTTTTCTTTCTTTGTTTTTTTTTTTTTGTCCTTTTTTTTTAACTGTTTAACATAGACATTTCTCTCTATGTATTTCTGTTTTCAGACCGCTGACAAATATCTCTCCGTCTATGTTTCCCCCTCTTTCAGATACTCTTTCCACTCTCGACATGATTAACAACATCTCCCTTACTCTCTCACCACCTCTCTCTCACTCTGTCACCCCCCCCTCTCTCTCTCTCAACGTCTGTTTCTCAATCTTTCTTTCTCTTACACGCATACACACACACGTACATATACAGAAATGAACGAACCCACACACAGATGTTTCCTTTTCCTCGTGTGGTTACCGTTTTTAACACTTTCTTTCTCTTTATTTTTCGCAGAGAGATTTCAGGCATCTTAGTCTCTTCAGGCGGTCATGGCTCTCCTCGGTTTCTTTTTATTTATTATCTGTGAATGACCATAACTTATTGCGGAAATGATTTCCCATTGCCTTCTCTTCAATTTTGTATTTAGAGTCGTCCTTCTCATAAACTGGCTTACAACCAAGGCGGGAGAGTCCAACCTACTATTTAACTTTTCTTTTTATGTGTTGTGTCCTTTCAGGACGTTGGCGATCATGGATCTCCACTTCCTCCTATCCCTTGTGGCTTGCAATAAGTTTCATGCCTCTGCCAACTCCCCCAGACAATCCACTTGCTTAAGCCCGCCAGGTATGTCATGCATTGATTTCCCTTATCTTCCTTTCCCTCTATTCGACCCGTGAGTATCAGATTCTCTAGGCCCTCCTTTCTCATTATGCGTCCCATAAACTTCAGCTGCCTCTTTCTGATGTTAAGTAAAAGTTTCCTCCTTGTTTGCATCCTCTCCAAGTCCTCATCGTTGCTCACACGATCGGTCCATGATATCCTCAGCATCCTTCTGTAGAACCACATCTCCGTCTCTTCTTCATCTTTGAGGAGACCGTCCAACATTCGCTGCCGTAAAGGAGGACAGATATCACGTAGCAGCTCAAGACTCTATTTCTTTGTTACCAAAGAGATCTATTTAATTTGTTAAGAAACTATGTCCATCCAGTCACAGCTCTCCACACTTTCCTTTTTCTTTATTATCTGTGAATTACCCTGTCTTTTTTGGAAATATATAAGAATCGTTTCCGATTGCTGCCTTCACATGTCGTTCTTTTAGAGTGGTTTCCACCCAAGTCTAGAGAACTCGGTCTACCTTGCTATTTCACTGATAGCTAGAAGAGACGGATCCAGGCTTTCGCATGAGCATTTCGGCGAAAGTGAACCCAGCACTCCGAATTTGAAATCGGAATGCCTATCCCAATTTCTAATCAAATTCTACACCGCCCCACCCCCGCACATCTATGAAAACAGTTTGTAAAATTCAATATTAAATTGACATACTGAAAAATCAATTTAAGCATTGCCGTAACATCTAGTATTTTTTTCTCTTTTTTTGTTTTATTTTTCCAAATTAACTCCATCCCTCTCCCTCTCTCTCCTTCTGTTTTATTTTTTCCAAAAACACCTCTCTCTCTCTCTCTCTCTCTCTCTCTGTTTTATTTTACCATTTTCTCTCTCTTTCTTACTCTATTTCTCTCTGTTTTATTTTGTCCAAATTATCCTTCTCTCTCTCTGTTTTATTTTCCAAAGTATCCTTCTCTCTCTCTCTTATCTGTCTTTTTCTCTCGCTCTCTCTCTCCCTCTCGCTCTCACCCACTCTCTCTCTCTCTCTGTGTTTTATTTTTTACAAATTACACTTTTCTTTCACTCTCAGTTTTACTTTTTACAAATTACTCTACTCTCTCCTTCTGTTTTATTTTTCCAAATTACACTTCACCCCTCTCTTTCTCTCTCTCTCTCTCTCTCTCTCTCTCTCTCTCTCTCTCTCTGTGTTTTATTTTTTCAAAATTACACTTCCCTTTCTCTTTCTCTCTCTCTCTGTTTTATTTTTTCAAATTACACTTTCCTGTCTCTCTCTATTTTATTTTTCAAAATTACCCCCTCTCTCTCTTTCTCCCTCTCTTTCTCTTTCTCTCTCTCTCTCTCTCTTCTACTTCCTTGCTCTCGTTGATTACATCTTTTCTTTCTTTCTTTTTTTCTGTTCCTGTCTCTCTTTTACCGTCTCTATCTCTAATAAACATATAACCTGATAATATCACAATTTTCGGAAGTACCCCGCAAAAAACCAAAAAATGAAATTACAGCTGATCTCAACTCTGATCTAGCTCTAGCAGCTCAATGGGTAAAATCTTGTTTGTAACTTTTATTAACTCAAAAAAAACAACCTAGTATCCTTTCATCATGATCACCGATCGGATCCTGAGTTTTATCCCCCGTCACAATAAACGATTTCACTCACAACGAGTCTCCATGCTTTCAACACCAACTGGGAGACAAGTTCACTGCAAATCTCAAGTGAAGCTCATACGAGGCTCGGCTGTAAAGTTCATAAGCATTGCTAAGATATGCATGTGTTCCAGAATACAGCAGCTGACCGACAAACTGTTGTATATTCTGGTACACATTTTTTTACAGTGGTATTCACCCTGTACAAGGCCCTCGAATTAGAGAGTTACAGAGTAAGAGGTACAGTTTATGCAGATATGTAAATAAGATAACGGTTGAAATGGTTAAGATTGTAGTGATTGGGGAAGCAACCTCTTTCAAAATTGTTTACGTGGTTATGTATTTTCCAGTCTACGCGGCCTTGAGGGTGATGAATGATTTCCGACCCTAAAGCTGCACCATAGACAGCCTCACTTTACTCTATCGCTATTCCCATGGCAAATATTTAGATGATCTACATACCAATGTTCCACTAGTTCAGACCTTTACTGCTAAGCTTCTCTCTATCCATCGCTATTTTCATGGCAAATGTTCAGATGAGCCCCGGTCTTACTTCCACAAATTCAGACCTTTACTGCTAAGCTTCTCTTTACTCCATCGCTATATCCATGGAAAATGTTCAGATGAGCTCCATTCTTTTGTTCCACCCACCAGTTCAAACCTTTACTGCTTAGTCTCTCTCTACTCTATCGCTATTTCCATGGCAAATGTTCAGATGAGCTACATTCATTAGTTCCACCAGTTCAGATGCTTAGTGCTAACCCTCTATCGCTATTTCCATGGCAAATGTTTAGATGAGGTACTTCCATTACTTCCACCAGTTCAGACCTTTACAGCTAAGTTTCCCTCTACTCTCTCGTTATTTCTATAGTAAATGTTCAGATGAGCTACAATCCACCCTTTCAGCCCTGTACATCTCGAACTTAGCCAGGCTACGTCCGTAAATTCGAATCACCCATCTCTGTATTCCATTTGTAAGGAAGAGGTTCCATTCAGACAATTTTGTTTTTTTTTGTTTGTTTTTTTTTGTTTGTTTTTTTTTTTTGTTTTTTTGTTTGTTTGTTGTTTTTTTTTTAAGCTTTTCACCCCAAGCAAGGCGGAAAGCCACTAGGACGCAAGGGGTTACAGAAAATTTGGAGCAAGATCAGATAGGAGTGATAGAAGAAAGGATGAGGAGAAGAGTAGTGGATAATTCAAGGCGACTGGAGATACAGAGGCCAGTGAGAGAGAGAGAGAGAGTACCGGAAACCCCTTTCTAAACAAGAAACAAGGCGTAAGCCTCTACTCATGTCCAAGAGAAGGGGCAGGAGTGTTGACCGGGCGGTAGGAAAGCCTACCTACTCCTATTATTTTTGCTGGTAACCTTGAAACAAAATCCTTCGTGAATGTTCCCCTTAAAATTACAATTTTAACCCCTTCCAATCAGGTGTCAATCGTTGTCTATCCTCCGTATCTTCAATCTTCACTTCCTTCTACACCCTCATATTAATATCCCACATATCATTCCATCTACCATGAGAGCCTCTTGAGCCTTGAATCTGGTGGACTTAAGAAAAACAAAAGTGTAGACTTTCATTCATATTTCTTTTTCACTACGACGGAGCCAGATCAGGCGGAAAATGGAGCTTTACAGTCTTCACTTACCAGTCTCGATCGAGACCAAAAGGGGTCCACGTGGCCTCACCTTCCTCCACTACAGCCACTTTCCCCATAAATGGAAAATATTTTGACGAGCTGCCTTCCTTCGTTTAACCAGTTCAGACGTTCACATCTCAGACCGGCCACACCGCGTACACCGCAAACAGAGTAACCACTCGTTCCCTTCGCATGTCATTAATAAGAAATTCCACTCGAACTGCTTCTTTCTGTGAACCGCTAGATTGTGGGACCGGCTCCCAATAGGATGCTTTCCCAACCAATACGATCCTTATCTGATCAAGTCTATAGCTAACCTTTTATCTTTCCGAAATTTCCTCATAAATTTCTCCGTTTACATCTTACTCTTACCGCTTCCACGACAACCTCATTCAGTAAATCTCTAGCTTGATGGCCTCTTGGACATTTCATAGAGTGACCATTACTAAGGAAAAAATCTCTTCTTTTCTCTTGATAAGGATAGCTTATTCCGATGCTACTCCTAATCAGAAGTGTTATTTGAAGATTATGTAGCGCCAGTTATTTAAACAGAGAGGACATTTGAAAATTATTTCCCAATGTTTTTTTTCCTTCTTTTTTTCTATCTAATGGAGCATGCGTAGTTTATGTGGCCGCAATGTATACGGCCTCTTTCTCATTCACTCTCTTTCTCATTCACTCTCTTTCTCATTCATTCTCTTTCTCATCCACTCTCTTTCTCATCCACTCTCTTTCTCATCCACTCTCTTTCTCATTCATTCTCTTTCCCATTCACTCTCTTTCCCATTCACTCTCTTTCCCATTCACTCTCTTTCTCATTCACTCTCTTTCTCATTCACTCTCTTTCTCATTCCTTCCCTTTCTCATTCATTCTCTTTCTCGTTCTCTTTGTCATTCACTCTTTGTTTCATTCATTCTTTTTGTCATTCACATAATCTCTCTCTCTCTCTCTTTGACACTCTTTCTCATTCACTTTCTGTCTCATCCACATTTTTCTCATTTATTCTCAGTCACTCTCTTTCTTATTCACTCTCTTTCTCATTTATTCTCTTTCAGATTCATTTTATTTCTCATTCACTTTCTGTCTCATTCACTTTTTCTCATTCATTCTCTTTCTCATTCACTCTCTCTCTCTCATTCACGTTCTTTCTCATTTATTCTCTTTCTCATTCCCTTACTGCTTCATTCACTTTCTTTTTCATTCACTCTCTCATTCATTCTCTTACTCATTCACTTTCTTTCCCATTTATTCTCTTTCTTATTCAATTTCTGTCTCATCCACTTTCTTTCTCACTCTCTTTCTCATTCACTCTCTTTCTCATTCTCTTTGTCATTCACTCTTTGTTTCATTCATTCTCTTTGTCATTCACACCACTCGCTCTCTCTCACTCTCTTTCTCATTTACTTTCTGTCTCATCCACTTTTTTCTCATTTATTCTCTTTCTCGTTCACACTCTTTCTCATTCACTCTCTTTCTCATTTATTGTCTTTCAGATTCATTCTATTTCTCATTCACTTTCTGTCTCATTCACTCTTTTCTCATTCACTCTCTTTCTCATTCATTCTCATTCACTCTCTTTCTCATTCATTCTCATTCACACACTCTCACTCTCTCTCTCTCTCATTCACGTTCTTTCTTATTTATTCTCTTTCTCATTCAATTTCTGTCTCATTCATTCTCTTTCTCATTCACTCTCTTTCTCATATAACTTCTTGAATCGAAATAGTCTGTCATCCGTTTAATTATGATCCTGATGTTTTCCCGTTACCCGAAACAAAGATAAAAAGAAAAGAAAAAAAACATCTCTGATCCTTAAAGAAACGAACCTGTCACATCAGCAAAATTGTCCGTATTCTGTCACCCTCCCTTTTTATGGCTGGAGTCATATACAACCACTTACCCAACGAAACGGCCGATTTACTATATGTCTTTCTTTCTCTTTTTTTTTTATTTTATTTTATATTATTTTATTTATTTATTTGTCCTTTAATCCACCCATCGTAAGCCTATCCCTATCCCTAACCCATGTCACGGGTGCTGTCATGAATGTCGCCATCTTTATCTAAAACGTTCAACCGCCATCTGAGGATTAATTTGAATATCGATGACGGCTTCTGATAAAATAATATAAAATAAACGAAAGTGAATGAATTAACAAAAACGGACAAATATCTTTTTTTTTTTTCTTCTTAATTCATCATTGATATTTATTTTCTTTCATTGATATTATTATCGTCTGGTGTTCTTTCCATTCCTTTTCTTTCAATTCGATTCACTTAAACATCGGCCTCTCTTCTTTTATCACTTCTCCCTTCATTTTTTTTTTTTTTTTGAAGGAGACTGAGAAAGAAAGAGAAGATACAAAAATGAAAAATTTTTTCTCTTCTCTTCCTTTCTCAGTCTCCTTCATTTCATGGTTTCTCAGGCTATCTTTCTCATTTGAGATTCTCGTTCTTCCTTCCTTTCTTTCTTTCTGACTTACCTTTTTCTTCCAAATATTTATTTCACCTTCTTTTTCGCATCTCCCTATTTCTTTTTACCGCTTTTAATCTTCCGCTTTCTTTCACTATTTTCTTTTGTCTTTATAATATCACCTTTCTTTCTCGTTCTTTTTCATATCGTCCTTTTCTCTTTCACTTCTTTCTCATTCTTTTTAACATCTGTATTTATCTTCACTTATTTCTATCTCTTTCTTTCTTTCTTCTTCTTCCTATTTTCCTTTACTCTTTCTCATTCTTTTCATATCTATTTTTATTTTTCACTTCTTTCTTCCTTTCTTTCTTCTTCTTCTTCTTCCTCCTCCTCCTTTTCCTCCTCTTATTTTCCTTTCATTTTCATTCATTTATCATTCTGTTTAATTTCTATGTTTATTTTTCACTTCTTTCTTTCTTTCTTTCTTTTTCTTCTCCTTCTTCTTTTCTTCTTCTTCTTCTTCTTCTTTCTTCTTCCTCTCCCTACTTCAATTTTCATTTCATTTTCACTCTTTTCTCATTCTTTTTAACATTTATGTTTATTTTTCACTTCTTCAATTCTTTCTTTCTTTCTTTTTTCTTTCTTTCTTTCTTTCTTTTTTTATTTATTTATTTATTTCTTCTTCTTCATCTTCCTCCTCCTCTTCTTTCTATTTTCCTTTAACTTTCACTCTTTCTCATTCTTTTTAATATCTATGTTTATTTTTCACTTCTTTTCTTCTTCTTCTTCTTCTCTTCCTCCACCTAATTACCTGTTATTTTCACTTATTTCTCATTCATTTTCATATCTTCCTTCCTGCTGTTTATTTTTCTCCTTCTTTGTAATATATTTCTTTCTCTTCCACTTTTTTCTCCTTCTTTTTCAATGCTTCCATTTTATTTTTCAGTCACTTCTCATGCTTTTTGAAATTTTCATTTCTCGTTCAATTTTCTTTTACTCTTTCTTTTCTTTCTTTTTATTCTCTTTCCTCCTCCTCCTCCTCTTATTTCTAATTCGCTTTTCTCTCTTTCATTCTCTTTTTATTCCTTTATTTTTCTTTCCACTCTTTTTCTTTTTATTTTCTCTTCCTTCTTCACTGCTTCAGTTAACGTTTTTCATCTCTTCTTTTTTTTCTTTTCCTTTTCTCCTTCATTTTTCTTATAGTGTCAATATGTTGTCTTTCTTTTTTTTTTTTTTCTTAATTTCTTTTTTTCTCCTTCTTTATTCCCCACTTTACCTATCACGTTCATTTTTCTTTTCGGTCTTCATTTCTCCTTCTCTTCCCCATCTTTCTTTCTTTTTTTCTCTTTTTTTTTTTTTTTTTACTTACATTTTTCACTTCTTATGTTTCGACTTAACATTTTTCCTTCTTCCTTTTACTTTTTCACTAATTACTTTTATTTTTGCTTTATTTTTCGCTTATTCCGATACTAGTTCTAAACAGAAGTGTTACGAGAAGATTGTCTTGCGCCAGTTACTTAAGCAGGGAGTATCTTTGAAAATTATTCTTCACTTCTTTATCAACCCATCCATTATCTCATGAAGCCGTTGTTTTTTCTTCTGAACGTGTTGAAATGTTTAATAATTAGTTTATTCTGGATATATTGTCCATGATTCATTCGCGTCCATCTTTTCTATTTACCAACCTCCGCACAATATTGTACTACAGTTTTTAAGGTAGGACGTTCCGAGCCCGTAGGCAAGAAAAAAAATGCCGGTAGACCCCGTATTTGTCTCCCTCTTCATACGAAACTCTGGCCTTCGGCAAAGCCTAGTCTGGGTTCCTCTCCGCACAGAGGCAGAAAGTTCGATAAGAGGAAGAGAAAACCTCCTCCTCGTCCTTTGCAGTAAACAGTAATTTTATTAAATTACGTAATTGATATAAATGAATAATCCTGAGTACGACGATAAACTACATCCGGCAGCAAGGTGATTGGAAGTTTGGAGGTTTTGAGGTGCATGGATACACCTTTTAATTGGTTCTGTTCCCAGGTTCACCCTGACCCGGTGTGGTAGCACCTGTTAGGGTTCAGGTATGGGCAAATAGTAAATCCCCAAACAAAAACAAAGCACTATGAAGGTATAAAAATACATGTTTATAGTGAAAATATCAGCAATACTTTATATATATATATATATATATATATATATATATATATATATATAAAATGACCAACAGTACATATTTATAGCAAATAACAATACATTTTTAAACCAAAATGACCAGTATTACACTTTATAGTGGAATTGCCAACAATACATTTTATAGCAAAATTACCAACAATACGTTTTATCTGTAGTTGACCGCATAGAATTGTGTTCAAAATATATTTAGTCGTAGCTATATTCAGAATTTTTAAATTTCGGTATTAACACTTTGACCTCTGACCACCGATTTACAGGTGGTAGAGAAAAATGACCGGTTGAACAGTGGTAGAGAAAAATCACTTAATGTCCAGCCACCGGTTGAACGGTGGGTAAACACTTGTAACTCTTTTTATATCTACCGTGAAACATTACATACCAATTATTTCAGAATTTTGACTCAGGAGCTCAGGCAGAAGAAGGTTTAAAATTGTTCAGGAACGCAGGGTTCAAAGGGTTAAATATGTAACGATAGGACGGAAGGGGTCAAGGAATTTCATTCTATGAAGGTCTAGGATTAATCCGAGCCCCACCCACTGAAGCTTCCCAGATTTTTGTCCCATGTTCAGGTTGAACTACGATTTTTAACCCTTTGAGCCGTGACCACCGCTTTACCGGTGGTAAAGAAAAATTATGTTGCCCAGCCACCGGTTGAACAGTGGTAGAGAAAAATGACTGAATGCCTAGCCACCGGTTGAACGGTGGTAGAAAAAAATTACTGAATGCCCAACTACCGGTTGAACGGTGGTAGTGAAAAATGACTTAATGCCCAGCTAGCGGTTGAACGGTGGTAGAGAAAAATGATTTAATGCCCAGCTACCGGTTGAACGGTGGATAAACTATTTTTATATCTACCGTGAAACATTACATATCAATTATTTGCGAATTTTGACTCAGGAGATCAGGGAGAAGAAGGTTTCAAATTCTTCAGGAACGCAGGACTCAAAGGTTTAAATGACCCATGAAGGTTGTTATGCTGCTAACCAAAATCAAATAAGCAAAAAAAGTATATAAATGAGGGAAATAAATACGATATCTTGTTTAAACCAATCAACGTAAATAGAAATGGAAGATACAAAAAAAAAAAACAGAAAAAATTTCCAGCAGAGTGCGCCTAAATGAGACACCACATGATCTCCAGCCTATGATAGATTTGTTGATTGTTTTTGTTTAGCGGCATATCAACACCTCTATGAGTTATTTAATGCTGAAATCTAAATATTTTGTACGCAATTTTATTTGATATATTTGGCGATAATAATGGTTTTAGTGATACAATCTTACTATTTAACCCATAGCTGGGAGGAGAATAGGTGGATCCATGCATTTACCTATTCATTTACCTATGCATTTAAAGAAAAATAAACCAGACAACAATGAAATCAAAAAGTCATCAGTTCCACATGGCAGGTCGTATGAGATGGGGAACCTCTAGTGTGGCAGTAAGATACTAAGAATCTGCCGATTTCGCTGAAATTTTTAGAAGTCCAGTCACAGAAAAAGATAAAAAAAAATAAAAACGGTAGACTAACAAATGCGAATGAGTGAATATAAGAAACCCGATTAGAATTCGAACTCGGCTCACCGATTAACAATTTTGAGCCATTGTTAAAACACAAGATTTCTGTACTCGTTTGCTTTTGATATCTCCGGTTCGTAGTTCGTATCTTCGACTGCTCCTCTTGCTGACAGAAATATATTCTGTTTTTCTTATAATTGACAATTAGTCCTTTCTTCACGCTTTCTTTTCGAGGAGTTTCTTCAGTTTTCTTCACTTTCAGATTGCTTCAGTCCGTTTAGAAAACCCATCTTTGTCTTAGGCCGATTTCTGTTTCCCCACACTTCTCCATTTCATTTTCTATCCCTCTTCCAGGAAATACACTGGAGAGTTCTAATGCACCATTCAAAACGATACCTAACAGCCTTGCAAAACGATAAAAAAAGAGAAGAAAACAGATCAAACCGTACTAAAAGAAAAAAAAAGCATTGCTAAAATCCGTGATATTATTAACCCAATTCTTAAGAGACTGTAGACGTCATTTTATCTACCATTTCACTCCGATCAAGGCAATAAAGCCACTAAGACGAAAGTGGGTTACTGACTATGAAAATAAGAGAAAAAACAGGATTAAGGAGAGAGGATAATAAAAGAACAAGAAAAAGACAGAAGATAATCAGCGACATTGCATTTAAATCTTTAAAGATCAAAGTTGACTTGGAAGCAATAAACCGGAAAAGAGTTAACATAGAACTTACGGTTACATCTAGCCATTTCAACTGAAAAAATGATAAGACCTCATTACCGATCTAGTAGTGCGCTCATATCTATAAACTCTAGATAAAATTAGTAGAAAGTTCATCAGAACAATTACGATAAAAATATTTTTAGAAAACGTACAGGCAAGCTACGTCACGGTGGTAAAAGCGACTGAACCCGAGATGCTAGGTCAGGACTATTAACATTGCAGATCCTTCTGTGCATTTTATCAGGAATCTATAAATATGCAGCAGTAGGAAAAGACCAGATGTGGCAGAAATATTCAAAGAAAGGACGAATTGTAGATTTATAAATATGTAAGATAGATTTTTCTTTGGATTTTATCAAGAATCTCTAAATATATAGCAGAAGCACCAGACCAGATGTGGCAGCAATATTCAAAGCAAGGATGAATGGTAGACTTATAAATATGTAAGATAGATTCTTCTTTGGATTTTATCAAGAATCTCTAAATATATAGCAGAGGCACCAGACCAGATGTGATAGCAATATTCAAAGCAAGGATGAATGGTAGACTTATAAATATAGAAGATAGATTCTTCTTTGGATTTTATGAAGAATCTCTAATCATGGCTGTTTTCTTAGCCGTGGGTCAGTTGGGTCTTTTCCCTATTTTTGTGTAACTTCCATGTCCCATACAATTGAAAATCTTAGAGTAGCCGTGCAGGATAACGGAATTTCTTGTTCCACAAGCACCCTGAACTTCATAGAGTCTATCAGTATTCTTGGGACCCACTTTTCACAGAACACTGAGCAGTCAACAGAGTGCTTTAAATTTCAGGTACTACATGAAGGATTTCACAGAGTTTTGCAACAGTGATTTTTTCTCGCAGCTTTAATGAGAGCACCAGGCAATATGACAATATTCTCAATCACAGCAGCAGATGACCTGCCCCTGGAGTGCCTGTCACTAATTTCAGTTTATACTTTCTCTATATAATTCCAATTGAGTCTATTGAGCCATTTTGCATATATCAATTGATTGATTTGTTTTTTACAGCTTATCGACCCTTTATGGCTTATTTCAAGCCAAAAGATATTTTGAATTGTAATAGTAATTTATTTTTAGAGTGAATATCACATTAACAATTTATTTAGATACCAATGATTCTCCAAATAGTGGTGGTACTATTTAATCTATAGATGGGGAGATGAGATTGATTCATATGTTTCTCGTGGATATTTATGAGTAAGCACTTACATCAAGTGTAACCTTTCCGTAAATATTCACAATGATTTTTTTTTATTTCGACTTGCAACCAGGATTATGAGTAAGAAAATAACGGTAACTCCGGAATTTCCCCTGAGATTCTCGATAGTTTATGGTTAAGAGTTATCTGGAAACGACAGAAATGTTTCTGATCCTTTTAAAACCAAATTAGGAAATATACACCATGCAGTTAATACAACAGATTGGCTCCAAAAGAATAAAAACGCATTGAACTCACAAAGTGGTTCATTGCTTTGATCATCTACTGGGATTCAATGTCGACTTCGACTCAAGAGAATCCCTGACATCAACTGCCAGGCTTGATCTTAACAAGAGTAAGATCAGACCAAAAAAGGGACTATTGCTGCCATATCTGGCCTGGAGCTGAACAAACCTAAATTTCTAGCCTTGATAGAATCCTTCTGCCAAGTTTCATTTTTACAAGAGTCAGACCAAATACTGGAGTATGGCTACCATATCTGGTCTGGAGCTGCACAATCATCACTTTCCAGCCTTATAAGAGTCCTTCTGCCATGACTCATCTTTACAAGAGTCGACCCAACCAAAAATGAAATATTGCTGCCATATATTGGCTAGAGCTAAACAAACCTCTTTTTCCAGCCTTGATAGAATCCTTCTTCGATGCATCATCATTACAAGAGTCAGATCAGACCAAAAAATGGATTATTACTGCCATATCTGGCCTGGAGTTGCACAATCCTCTCTTTCCAGCCATGATAGAGTCCTTCTGACACGCTTCATCTTTACAAAGGTCTGCTCCAACCAAAAGTCGAGTATTGATCCCATGTTTACAAAACCTTTTACTATAGACGCAATATAGACAAAAACCTGCTGCAGTCTCTAATTCCGCCGAAAATGTTCTCATGAAGCCAATTTTTCTAGTTCCACCAGTTCGGGGCTTTGCATCTAAGACTCACGATGCCATATACACCGTAAAAGAAGATACAAAGAAAAATTAATTGAAAAGAGCTATGATGGTTTACATTCTGAAGTAATATGACATATAGAAGAAAAATAAGGAGAAACAGAGGAGGAGAATGGAAAATAAAATGAAGAAAATAAAGTGAAGAAGAAGAAAAATAATGTGTAGGAAGTGAATGACACGATGAAGAAGAAGAAGAAGAAGAAGAAGAAGAATGTATAGGAAGTGAATGAGAAGAAGAAGAAGAAGAAGAAAATAGAGGTGTAGATAGGGAAAGCAGAAGAACAAGGAGAATGGCTAAGCAAGAAAAAAGCCTAGAAGAAGAAGAAGAAAAAGAAGAAGATGAAGAAGAAGAAGAAGAAGAAGAATGTGTAGGAAGTAAATGACACGATGAAGAAAAAGAAGAAGAAAAAGAGACATGGCGAAGAATGAAAATAAAACTAACTTAGAAAAAAATAGAAATAAAATGGAGAAGAAAATAAAGTGGAAAAATAAAGTGGAAAGAAGAAGAAGAAAAAGAAGAAGAAGAAGAAGATGCAAGAATATAAGAAAGCCCAAATGAAGAATAAATCAATATGGCGTAAATTGTTCCGTATAATGAAGACCCAAGTATAAAAGGAAGAGACTGAAGATGTTCAGAGAAGGAGATGATGGGAAAGAAAAATGAAATAAATGGACTGATAAAGAAAAATAAACAAGACAACAATGAAATCAAAAAGTCATCAGTTCCACATGGCAGATCGTATGAGATGGGGAACCTCTAGTGTGTCGGTAACATACAAAGGATCTGCCGATTTTGCTGAAATTTTTAGAGGTCCAGTCACAGAAAAAGATGAAAAAAAATAAAAACGGTAGACTAACAAATGAGGGTGCGTACCTGATAACCTTAAAAATGCCCGCTATGGCATATTTGGCAGATGGTGTGAAGTAAAGAAAGCGGGTAACGTTTCGCTTTATAGATCGGAATGGTTGATGCGGAATTTGGGATTCTGGAGAGAAAAAAAGAACTGGTGTGAGAAAGGAAGGAAGGTAAGAATAAAAGCGCGGTCAAAATTCAAAAGAATAATAATGAATAAATACAGAAAGAAAAAGAAAAAAAATAAATAAGGCAGGAAAAGGAGAATTAAAATAAATGAGCAGATAGAAAGTAGAACAGAAAACAGAAGAAGAAAAACAAAAGAAAAAAAATGGAGAAAAGAAATACGGTGAAAAAAGGAACGTCGAGAAAAAGAAGAGAGGGTATCTTGATAAAGGAAGGGAGGAAGGAAGGAAGGAAGGAAAAGAAAAGAAAAAGAAGGGGAAAAAATGAAGAAAAAATAGGCACAATAGGAAAGAAAGTAAAGGAACGAAGAGAGACAGGAGAGAAGGAAAAGTAAACAAAAAGGAGAGGAAAAAAGGAAGAAAGAATTAGTAACAATAGAAAAGGAAGGTAGGAAGGAAGGAAGGAAGGAAGGAAGAAAGGACAGAAGGAACGAACGAACGAACAAAACGAGGAACAAAGGAAGGAACGAACGAAGGGAGGAACGATGGAAGGAACGAACGTAGAAAAGAAGGAAAGAAAGAAGGAACGACCGAACTAACGAATGAAAGAAGGGACGAACGAAGGAAGGGAGGAACGATGGAAGGAACGAACGAAAGAAAGAAAGAAAGAAAGAAGAGTCGAACAAAGAAAGGAAGGAAAGAAGGGAAGCATGAAGAGAGGAAAGAAAGAAAGAAAGAAAGAAAGAAGAGTCGAATAAAGAAAGGAAGGAAAGAAGGGAAGCAAGAAGAGAGGCAAGAAAGAAAGAAAGAAAGAAAGAAAGAAAGAAAGAAAGAAAGAGACGAACAAAGAAATGAAGGAAAGAAGGGAAGCAAGAAGAGAGGCAAGAAAGAAAGAACGAAAGAAAATCAAAGTACTATCGACTGGCTCGGAAACTCTCCTGATTTAAATCCAATTGAGAATCTGTGATCATTCTGTAAGGAATGACTTCATGGAATGGACATACAAAGTATTAACATTTGGACTGAGTTTCGTGTCATTGGAAAAATACAAAAAATAAAAGCACATAATAACTGAATTATTCGTTTTGTTTCAATTAATTTGCACAAAAGTGAAATTGATTCGGGAATAGGTACATATTAATAGTTTATATTTCAGTCTATAAGCATATGATTGATTCGGAAATAGGCATACAAACAACTTTTGTGCATTTTTATACTATTATTATATAAAACTAGCAGTAGAGCCCGGCGTTGCCCGGGGATGTAACAGTAAGAGATACATCAAGTATCAACCATAAAGACTGAAAAATAAAATTGACAAAGATTATTGTTTAAGGTTGACGGACACGCATATCTTAATTATTTTTTTTTTTTTTTTTTTTTTTTTTACGAATTGGGGAAACCCAAACTAAAACGAAAACATTGTTTTCAATCATTATGAGTCTACCGATTGAATAGAATTTTATTATAAACAATTGTCTTGTAAATGGAATTTTGAAAGCATTCTGAATGTAAAAATAAAGAAAAAGTGTGCAAGACAATAAGAAACGCTACCTGCCAAAAAAAAAGTGATGTTTTGTTGAAATCGGTTGAAAAATGTAGGAAATCCGATCCCATATATAAACGAACACACACAGAAACAACCTGGGTTTTATAATAAGTATAACTCGATATAAGTTGTCCCCCTTGCATTCTCGCGATGCCTCTTAATCGTGTTTTCAAATTTATTTTGTGCAAAAACAATTGTTTTTCCAATTTTTGGCGCTGTCAGAACCACCGCAAGGTAATTTTATGTAGTCCTGTGAAGTTTTGTTGAAATCGGTTGAAAAATGTAGGAAATCCGATCCAATATATAAACGTACACACACACACACACACAGACACACAACCTGGGTTTTATAATAAGTATGATAATATAATAATAATAGTATATAATATTACTATTATATTATTTTTATACTATTATTTTTACAATATTTTATACATAAAGTCAATTTACATAACCTAAAAGAAAAAAGAAGATAAATTAATATTAACAATTTTATTTAAAAATATGTAGGTACTTTGTTTTTGTTTGTTTTTTGTTTTTTTCACCGTGTATTTAGTTTTGCACAAATTAATCCATATTTGAACATCTAGGCATTTACTTAATTCGGGAATTGGTAAATATGGTTGTTTATATTTGAGTATGCAAATATAATAAATATTTACTTACTGGATAGGTAAACATTGGTTGTTTATTTTTTGGTTTACAAACATTAAGGAATAGATAAATATTGCTTATCATATTTGAGTATTCAAATATTTACGTAAAGAATAAGTCAATATTGGTTGTTTGTCTTTGAGTATATAAATATTTACTTACGGGATAGGTAAATAGTGGTTGTTTATTTTTTAGTTTACAAACATTTACTTAAGGAATAGATAAATATTGCTTGTTCATATTTGAGTATGCAAATATTTACTTAAGGAATAAGTCAATATTGCTTGTTTATATTTTAGTATATAAATATTTACTTACTGGATAGGTAAATATTGGTTGTTTATTTTTTAGTTTACAAACATTTACTTAAAGAATAGATAAATATTGCTTGTTCATATTTGAGTAGGCAAATATTTAACGAATAAGTAAATATTGGTTGCTTGTATTTGAGTATATAAATATTTACTTACTGGATAGGTAAATATTGGTTGTTTATTTTTTTAGTTTACAAACATTTACTTACGGAATAGATAAATATTGCTTGTTCGTATTTGAGTATGCAAATATTTACTTAAAGAGTAAGTCAATATTTGTTGTTTGTATTTGAGTATATAAATATTTACTTACTGGATAGGTAAATAGTGGTTGTTTATTTTTTACTATACAAACATTTACTTACGGAATAGATAAATATTGCTTGCTTATATTTGAGTATGCAAATATTTACTTAACGAATAAGTAAATATTGGTTGCTTGTATTTGCTTATAAAAATATTTAAGTGCGGGATAGCTATATATTGCTTTTTATTTTAGTATTAGTTCTAGGTATGACGATGAATTACATCCTGCAGCAAGTCCTGATTGACGGTTTTAAGGAACGTGGAACCAACTCTTAATTGCTGTTTTTGTATTGTACTATTGTGGTAGCGCCTGTAAGGGTCCCAGCTAATATAGTGAACCCCCCAAACAAAAACAAAAGACAATTAAAGTATGACGTCTTTATAGTAGAAATTCAAGCAATATATTTTTATATAAAAATTACTAACAATACTTATTGAGAGTAAAATTACCAACAATACAGTTTATCTGTAGTTGAAAGCATACAAACGCGTTCAAAATGTTTATATTTCAGAATTAATTAAACTATTGAGGATGATATGCTACTAAACAAAATCAACCAAATATTTTTATACGTATTTATATATGGGAAAATGAATTATAAATTGTTTATATTTAATATACAAACATATACTTATTCAATAGGGAAATATAATTTCTTTATTTTTGAGTCTATAAGTACTTACAGAATAAGTAAATATTGTTTATATTTATAAATATATACTTGTTAAATAGGTCAATGTTGTTTATATTTGAGTATACACAGATGTCCTTACTCAATAGATAAATATTATTGTTTATTACTTAGTCTATAAGTATTTATTTACACAAAAGGTAAGTATTGATTGTTACAGTGGGGGGAAATAAATAATAAAATGTATCTTTACATATAAAATGTATCAAAATTTGTTTTAGTTAAGGCTTTTACATTTATAAAAATACAATTTTTCATGTGTACGAATATCTATTTTCCCCCACTACATTCGAGTATACAAACATATACTTACACAATAGGTAAATATAATTTCTTTATATTTGAGTCTATGAGTATTTATTTACAGAATAAGTAAGTATTGATTGATTATATTTTGGTAAACAAACATGTACAGGCTTAATCGATAAATATTGAATGTTTATATTTGAGTATACAAACATATACTTACTCAATAGGTAAATATAATTTCCTTATTTTTGAGTCTATAAGTATTTATTTACAGAATAAGTAAATATTGATTGTTTATATTTTAGTATACAAACATATACTTACTCAATAGGTAAATATAATTTCTTTATATTTGAGTCTATATATGTTTACTTACAGAATAAGTAAATATTGATTGTTCATATTTTAGTATACAAACATATACTTACTCAATAGGTAAATATAATTTCTTTATATTTGAGTCTATATATGTTTACTTAGAGAATAAGTAAATATTGATTGTTCATATTTTAGGATACAAACATATACTTTCTCAATAGGTAAATATAATCTCTTTATTTTTGAATCTATAAGTATTTACTTACAGAATAAGTAAATAGTGTTTATATTTTAGTAAACAAATATATACTTGCTAAACAGGTCACTATTGTTTACCCAAATGTCCTTAAGGTAAATATTGTTGTTTATTACTTAGTCTATAAGTATTTACTTACACAAAAGGTAAGTATTGATTCTTTATATTTGAGTATACAAACATATACTTACACAATAGGTAAATATAATTTCTTTATATTTGAGTCTATAAGTATTTATTTACAGAATAAGTAAATATTAAATATTTATATTTTAGTATGCAAACATATACTTGCTTACTCGGTAAATGTTGATTGTTTATATTTGAGTATACAAACATATTACTCTTACACTTACTCATTAGGTAAATATAATTTCTTTACATTTGAGTCTATATATGTTTACTTACAGAATAAGTAAATATTGATTGTTTATATTTTTGTAAACAAGCATGTACTTGCTTAATCGATAAATATTGATTGTCTATATTGGAGTATACAAACATGTACTCAATAGGTATTGGATGTTTATTTTGGAGTCTATAAGTATTTACTTATAGAATAGGTAAATATTGATTGTCTATATTGGAGTATACAAACATGTACTCAATAGGTATTGGATGTTTATTTTGGAGTCTATAAGTATTTACTTATAGAATAGATAAATATTGATTGTCTATATTGGAGTATACAAACATGTACTTACGAGGTAAATATTGTTTATTTATTTGGTTGGATGGTATTTTTGTGGTTGATTTTCCCCCCCTCTGATTTTCATGTGGTCTGTTTATTGTATGTCCCACCGACAGGACAGGATTATTATTCTAATATTGGACATGTGTACGCCATTTTTCAAATATACTGATTTTTTTTTTCTTTTAAATATGCCTGTTTTCTGTATAGTAATTTGTATTCAAATATCTCTCCCGTCTAGTATAATGAAAATATATTGATAAATGAGGACTTAACGCTACGTTATAAATCTTACAGACACGAGGTCGACCAATGGGGGAGGATCTTCTGGGTAGCTGTAGTCGCTGTACTCGTCTTTTCAGGTGACGTCACAGATATCGCTACTTCGTTTAATTGTTTATTAATTAACCAGTATTATTAATGATGTTGAGGCCGATGTTCATCAACCCAGACTCACCCTCGTCATTTGGATTATAGCCAGAATGGAATTTTCCTATGACAGACTGTCTCTGACATCAATTTTTCCTTCCATTCTGCCTAACTTTTCGCTTTCTTCATCTTCCTCTTGGTCAAATTTCTTTCTTCTCTCATTTTTTTTTTTTTTTTTTCATGCTTACTTCCGTCTGGTTCTATCCCCTCTATTTCCGGCCAGTTTCCAAACTTTTTAATCTCAGCATTCACGTTCAAACACCTGTTCCCGTACGATCACCGAAGTTAAGCCAAGTCGAGCCTGGTTAGTAGCTAGATGGGTGACCGCTTGGGAATACCAGGTGCTGTAAGCTTGGATATACGGCATCTATGACATATATCTAGATGACGTTGAAACACCCGGTCTCGTACGATTCCCGAAGTTAAGCAACGCCAAACCTGCTCAGTACCTAGATGGGTGACCGCTTGGGAATGCCAGCTGCTGTCAGCATCGGTGTGCTTCAAATCTCTTCATCTGTGAGCAGATTGCCCAGCATTCACTGCCATATAGAAGGACTGATATTGCATAACAGTTCAGTACTCTTTTCTTTGTTTCTAACAAAATTCTCTTGTTTCTTGATACTTTGCTTAGCTTTTGAAAGGCATTTTTCGCTTCCCCAACATGTTTCAATTTCTTATGCATTGATAACTATCTTGCTATAAAAATGCGTGAAAAATCTGGAAGACAAAACGTTCAGTGTTCGGGGATGGTGATTTTATAAGTATAGATTAGATATGGCACAAGACTGAACGTATGGGGCACCCGCTGAGGATCAAACTCGCTCTTGTTTTAGCGTGGCAAGCTTGTTAGCCATTACACCAAGTCGTGGTGCTCCTCTGTGCTCGGGGATGAATGCAAATATTACTGATACAATTATTACTGATCGGTTTATGATATGCTTATTGCAAGCATTTTACGATAAAAATGCACTTAAAATTAGGCAGGAAGGGATTGTCAGTGGTCAGGAATTAATGTATGCATTACTGATAAAACGACACTATATGTTACATGGAAATATATTAGGAGCTTAGATGATGATTAGTTATCAAACACGAAATATTTTTAAAAAACACATGACAATATGCAAACATGTGGTTAATAATCAGCTCTCAAATGACCACACCCGAGATAGTTCGATCCTCAGCTGAATCCCATTAGTGTAGCCTTGTGTCAGACTATCTAGAGAACATCAGATTTAGGCAATTAAATCTTACATGGTTTCCAATTGTTTGAACAGTTTTAGGGGAGGGGATTGAAATTGGACAGACGGGATCGGGAAAGGGTAAGAGATAGATAGATAGATAGATAGATAGATACGAAGAGAGTGCGATAGACATGTAGATATGAAGAGGTTTAGACAGGTAGATAAATAGAACTGAAGACGTTGAGATTGAGATCGAGATAGAAAGATAGGAACCTACTGAAATAGATAGATAGATAGATAGATAGATAGATAGATAGATACATACATACATACATACATACATACGAAGAGAGTGCGATAGACAGGTAGATATGAAGAGGTTTTGTCAGATAGATAGAGAGAACTGAAGACGCTGAGATTAATAGATAGATAGATAGATAGATACGAAGAGAGTGCGATAGACAGGTAGATATGAAGAGGTTTCGACAGGTAGATAGACAGAACTGAAGACGTTGAGATTGATATCTAGATAGAAAGAGACTGAGATAGATAGATAGATAGATAGATAGATAGATAGATAGATAGATAGATACAT